TTGTTTTTACTATTTTTATCAGAATTAATAGTTTAGTCGATGTAAATAAAATATTTATATTCGTTATATGGTTTGTTATTGTTCCTAAAAGGTTACAAATGTGGATAATGAAGATGTTTGGGATGATAGTGCGTTAATAAAAGCTTACGATAAAGCAGTGAATTTAGCAAAAGAGGAAGTTGTTAAACGGATAGGGATGGAAGTTCAAAATTCGCAAAATTTTAAACAACCTCGACATATCAACAAACCATACAAGGTCATGATTTTAAATAAACTTTTATTCTACATTATTACATACATTTATAGTTATAACATTAACTTGCATATGTATTTTTCCTGCATAGAAATGGATTGTTGGAGCACCTTGTCGTGCAATATACTCAGAAGATGGAGAAATTTATGAAGCTATAATATCAAAAATTTATGAAGATAGTGAAACTTGTATCGTGAAATTTGTAGGTAATACTTTGATGCAATTACTTTTTATAGAGTTGAAGAGAGAAAATTAATTGAAACGAATTCTATATTATATTTAAATATCTTTCAATGTATTTAGGATATGGTAATACACAAAAGGTGGAGTTAAGTTCTCTTTTAGAATCAGAAGGTTTACAAAATCAAATAGCTCAACGAAAGGATGCTCTGGCAGAGAAGCTCAATGAAGAAAATGTGACCGACGAAACGAAGTTTTCTGTAAATGCCAACTCAAAAAAGTACAATGGAGAGAAAATGGATTGTGAATCTGAAGAAACAAAAACATACAAGCATTATTTTATGCCTGGACCATCTTTCAATGCAGCGGCAGATATAATGCCGCCTGCGCCTCCTTTACCGCCACAATTAATGGCTAAGTAAGTAATCTGTGACTTTAATAAACAATTTTCAATAAATATTCTAGTGATGTAATTTAATAATATTAAGTTTTAATTGTAAAAAGGAATCAGTTTTTTGGTAAATATATTTTAGGTTGCCAGACAATGATGCAGACGCACTTTCGAGTATGTTAATGTCATGGTACATCAGTGGTTTCCATACGGGTAATTATTTCATAACACTATCTTGTATTCTATTTTCGATCAACTACACTGTTTCTGTTGCAGGTTACTATCACGGCTTAAAACAAGCCAGCAATAATCAAGAGAAAAGAAAGAATTGCTGATTCATGTATAAATCTCATTCACAATACCACAGTAACACAATTATGATATAATTGTAAAGAATTACTTACAAAAATAATTTACATTAATAAAGTTCTATTAACAAGATCCTTCTGTAATAATATTAAGTTATAGAAACATTTTTTAAATATTTTTCTTAATGCATTACAAAACGGGTTAAGAGTAAGAAAAAAGAAAAATTAAATAAGGTTCATCTTCACGTATCATCCTTTTTTATTTTTAAATAATTAAAAAAATTTAATTAAATAACACCTGTCCACTTATTATAGTTGGCAACATTTTTAATTATGGGTTGATATTTATCAAACGTGTCAAAGAAACTGTTACTGTCTGTTATTTCATATTTCAAATCTGACGTTAAAGTTATTTCTTTGGATTCAAGTCTTTTCCACATCGGAGTTGATTGGTGCATCCATGCTTGCTTGCAGATCTGTATGATGTCTGCAGCAGAACAGTTCTTCAGTTTAGTACTATCTGACGCTGAGTTTTTCAGGGTATTTAATATGTCATTCGAGACATACAATTTGAAGATATTAAATTTTGATACCGTATCGGGTAATTCTACATATATTCGTTTTTCAAGACGTCTGAGTAGAGCTTCATCGATATTCCTAATAAGACAAAATTATGAAGTGATAAGAAATGTTCTTAAAATCACTATTATTAAAACTCTTAAAGAGTATGTTTTAAAACAAAAACAATTTTCAATCTTCAATGAAACCAGAAATTCTACTTTTATTTTAAGAGAAGAAAGAATAAAAATATTTAATCTTATATTAATCAATGTCATATTACCTCTCGTACTCACCAGGGGGCATTAGTTGTAGCTAAAAGGACGACATTAGAGTTTTGGGGGGACATTAATCCATCCAAACTGGTCAGAAGTTCAGATCTAAATCTTTTTGCTGGTTCGGACAAAACATGCGATTCGGGACATGTTTTCGTGGCTATCCAATCGATCTCATCAATAAATATAATTGTGGGCGAATACTTATGAGCGAGCTCGAAAAGCACCTGTCGTAAATATAACAGAATTCATTAGGTACACATTGGTTTGAATGATCAATCCTGAGAAATTTGCTTTGCTGTTGAAAATGTGAAACGCAAAGGGAATAAGTTGACTTACGCGAATGTACTTCTCGGAATCACCACGCCATTTGCTGACCAACGAACTGGCTGTTATGTTGAAGAATGTACAATTGCATTCCGTCGCGATTGCCTTTGCCAGCATTGTTTTGCCTATTTTGAAAACTCATTCTGTAAGTGTTTTCTGCAGCGGAAAGAATAGATACAAGTGTACTTCTTACCTGTACCAGGTGGTCCGTACAACAGAAGGCCTTTCCAGGGGGAAAACTTGTCGGCGAAGAATATAGGATACTTGACGGGATACACGATGGCTTCTTTAACCGCGGCTTTACATGTTTCGAGTCCTATCACGTCGTTCCAGTGTACGTTTAAGTTATTCACCACGATCTCCTACAACAAACAATACGTTCAGCTATACGCCATTCGAAGCAATAGGCAGCAATACGAAAATAATAGACTACTGAAAGGAGTTGTCTTTAAATCTTAAAATACAACCTAAGTATATTTATATACACATAAGTGTTATGTACTCAGGTTAGTATAACAGCATCTAGAACCGAGAAGTTATAGTCGGGGTAAAGGAAGTTGTCATGATCTTCTTGAGAAGATATTTATGCAAGGATACTCTACGAAGCGGGACAGAGTATCAGTCAGGTTTGCCTCAACCAATTGCACGAATGCGGGGATTCGTTCCGGCGAAGCAAGGTGGGGATGTGGTGAGGATGCGAATGTACTCTAACCCGGGAAACACTGTATTTTTTAATACTCTGCATTTAGTTTACTTGCTTATTTACGTCACTTCAAGGTCATCGAATTTTTTTCTTTAAAATATATATTTTTATCATTATACTGACGTGTACAATATTATGAATTTAAACAATGGAAATTAGTTTACCCTCGATATGTCCTCGGCGAACTTTCGCAATTCCGAGTCTACCGGATAGAGCTCGACGCATCTCGATAGGTTCGATTGTATGTGCAGTTCCCTATTGTACTGAAGCTCTGTTATCGAAGATCTATCTTCGTTCTCGTTCGGGAATATAGGTGTCACTATCATCGCGAGGTTAACGTCATTCGTGGAACCGTTGCTTGTAACCTGTTGTACGTTCTGCTTCGTCTGTTCTTCCTGTATTTTCGGTTTGCTGACCGGTTTGCCTTTCTTCTTATTGTTTCTTTGAAGGACAAATCGATAAAAGGAAAAGTGTACGATCTCTAGATAATTGAACACTATACGTTATTACTCCAATTTTCCTTCTCTCGTTTAGTTTTTAATTTATTAAGATACTGATTCTTGCAAAATAAACTTTTCATAGAGTTTTTTAACACTTCGAGTGCCGCAAAAATTTTATGTAACTTGAAACACGGTGTTGAAATGGAATTGTTTTTATGCAATACATATGTAAGTAGTAAATATACATTTACTACTTTATAGGCATATTGTGGTAAATGCATACTTGCTATTATCATAATATTAATCATATTGAAAATTTTATAAATATTACCATTCATTTGATTAAAGTACTTTAGCTAACAGTATCAGTATCGTATCAGTCACCGATGAAGCTGTTTGCAGTGCGATGCGGGCGAGTGTTTAACCATATTGGGGTGTTCAGTGCGACGCGAGCGTAAAGAAGATCCCAATAGAGATTTCCAAAGTCTCTTATCGAAGGCATTCGTATTTGTACGTCTTGATTTTTCAACTATTGGAGAAACACCGGCATCGCACTGGAAGCGGTCTAACTCCCACAGCGCTACTGACAAATCGATGATCACCACGGCACTCAACGTGTTATCTGAACAATTTGAATTCTTACGTTACGCCTTCACTCCCTTCGACTGGTCTACAAAACAGCGGGTTCTTGTTGTACTTCATGCGGTAAAAACTCTCATATTCGGTGAAAATTATTTCCAGATCGATGTTTTCAGAGACCCGAATATTTGGCGACAAATTAGCTTCACTGGTCACCGCGTCGCTAGATAACGTGTACCTGTGAGAATAACACAAATTTTTTCGTTAACCGTTGTCGAAAATTAAGTCGGCACTTTAGGAATATTAATAACCTTGGTAGTTTTTTTTAGTTAAGTATTGCACAAAATTCGATGACTTTTTCAAAAAAAAATTTTCTGTTTATTTTGCACCGAATTAATAGGTAATAACGTTAAGGTTATATACCGCAGTAGTTTAGCAGTAGATAAGTAGTTATCGACATGAAAACCTAAACAGGAACATGACGATCTACATTACCGACTGGATTGTTCTATGACTGCATTATCTCTGTGAGAGCTGATATTGGAATACCATTCAAGTACAATGCAGAACGATTTTATCGAGAAACTTAGGTATAAGCATACTTACTTATGTCTGTCTAAATATTCTTGTATAAGGTGCAAAATACATCGTTGACGTTCCATCATACGAGAGGCCCCCTGATTCAACATTAGACTTCGTTAACAATCTTCGCAGATTTTTGTACTTTGTATATTTTACTTAGGATTTGCGTTATTTATTGTTGTTTTTATTAATAAGCCGTTACAAAAATGAGAAAAGGGAAGAACTATAATATACGGGACAATCAACACGTGCACACACCCTTCTTTGATATAATATTCTAACCACGCATGCGTTGAATAAGGAAAGCATTACAAACTTTACGATTTTATATAACATTTATAGTTAGAGAAAATATCGAAATACCGTCGAAATAATTTTACGGAAGTAACAACATTCACTTTCCTGAAAGACGCCGCGAAGAAAAAGTGAAGTGAGTTTCAATGTTTCTCTTACCTTATCCCGTAGATTGTAGTAAAATTGATTTGCGCTTCCTTGCATCGACAAATCGGTGTTCATGGTGTTTGTTGTCTAAACGATGTCGCTCAAAAAATGAAGGAAATCTTGTTAATTAGTTACGATACAACCTGAGGTATGGTTCTTATGCACGCGAAGCGTCCCTTGAAGACCAATTTAAAACAGTAGACGAGCGATTGTTAGATGGAACAAATGTTATGATGACGTGAATGTTGGCTATCGATCGGTAAGGCTAAGTGGAGGCTTTAGATGGGTCTTAGGGTGTACTGATCGGCAAAGCAAAGTTGAGGCGTCTGACGTCATCACCTGACCAAACAAATGGAAAATAGGCGGTCAGACCATCGCTACTACCCCAGACGAAGTACAGGATAGACATAACACCTAGTGTATTTTTCTGTCCAACGTTCTGAAATACCGATCGAGTAAAAAATTAGAGTTTTTTCTTTGCCTCTAACGATATAACGCGGTGAGTTTAGGATTTACATACAATCCAACCATCAAAGATGGTAAAGTCGATAAATGTAAAAATCCTCTTTTATTAAATTTACATATAAAGATACATACATATATTGGGTTGCATGAGTAGAATTTTTCACAATCTTTTTACAGTAGTAGAATACACGCATGTGATGAATCATCTATTAATAAACAATTACGTTACTTTCTTATTTGTAATTTCATAGTTACGTTTAATTCCAATTCCAACCACTTCTAATGTTGTAATCTTATTCTATGCTGAATCGGTAACGTTGGTAGCGACACGAAAATGATAAGGGTCTTCTCAGCCCCAAAGTCCCGAATAAAAAGTCCCATAAGATGTTAGGTCTATCCTGTACGTCGTCTGAGGTTGTCACTTGTCGTCGTCTTGCATCGTTTTCGTCAATCAAGTTTTCTCTTGATTGCTTGTTACGGCAGCTTGCGTTACTTCTCACTAGATGGCGCCAGAGTCAACGCGCTCCTCCTATCGCCGTTTCCGTTCCGCGAGATCCTCGAATCAACGTCCTTGATTTTTAAGATTCTTTGTTTAGGTAACTAGCTCCCGGATACTCTTCACTGTTCGACCTTGCCAGATCTCTTCGTTTCCCTCGGGCACCCCTGGACCACATTACAGAAGAAACAGATGATCTCCATACGAGAAGCTCGCGTAGAGAAACGCACAACTCTGATGGAACTTCTATTCCGCACAAAAAGGCAGCATCAGTCTTTCAACAGACATTTTTATGCTTGTCAGTCAATAAGTAGAAACATGGTGAATTCATCGCTCCGTTAACACGTCGAGGAGAATATCGAATGTATTATTGTTTTGAATTTGCAAATTGTATTTGAAATTACTCAATAAATACAAATCTTCAAATTTAATTGAAAAGTATCCAATCAAATTTGAATCTTTAAATTTAATTCAAAGGTTAATCCAATCAAATTCAAACATTTATAATTTAATTCAAAACTAGCCGATCAAATCCGAATATTTAAATTTAATTCAAATTTACGTGATCAAATTCAAATCTTTAAATTTAAATTCAAATTTAACCAATTAAATTCGAAGTTTTAAATTTAATTCGAAAGTAATAACCAACAATGTTCGAATCTTTAAATTTTATTCAAAATTATCAAATCAGTTCGAAGGACGAGCGTCTGGTTATGAGTGTCAAGTGTCTCCTCGACCGGGAGGAAAACAATAATCTCGAATTGATGCCGATAAATATCGGTAGATGGAGAGGTATCTCCTGTCTAGGGCTGTTCGAAGTGCTCCATCCTGCTTCTCGTGCAACATCTCAAGTCTTTGCGGCAATCTGACAGAGAATTGGCAACATTCTCCCCAGCACCAATATCTATTGTTCGTTCCATCTAAGATAACGTGTTCAACGTTTATCAGAGGTTAAGTTCTCATACTTCACTGCGTGATTCTTGGTTATAAAACGCGAAGACTGTGCAATTCATTCGTCGTCTACGTCGTTTCGACACTTTAACAGGTGTTCGAAGAATTCGACAATAATTTCCAAAATTAGCTCTCGTGTCCGCGATTGAATGAAGTTGGCCACCTCTCGTATCTTTGTTTAAGGTTATTTTACATTTATGTGATCAAATGTAGCTATGATACACTGTTAGCAAAAATAAAAGATTTCTTTTCAAATAAATAGAACGTGATACATTTAGTAAAGTGTAAATACAATTTTTCAGCGGAAAGGTGTGTTTCTATGTAAGAAAGAATATTTTTTATTGTAAAGATTTGGCTTTCATAAACTATGGTAGTAAAAATTAATATTATCGTGTTTAACCTTCACGATAGAAAATCACGATACTATTCCATTTATAATTATTGTAAAAAATGGTTTTAATGAATTCACGAAACAGTTGTCATTTCCCAGGCGACAGCTCGAATAAGGAAGAATCATTTCGCATTGAATTTCGATACGGATCCGAGCGGATCCGCTAATATTTCACGCGCCTCGCACGGTCGAACGAATATATGACATTCAGGAGGTTCTAGCGACGGTGTTAAATTATTACCGTTGACACTAGTTAGACGCCTCAGTTTCTAAATGTCATAACCGCCATTTTCATTAATAAAGTTATCGTTGTTTCGTACTGCCTAAAATTTAGGTTATTGTTCACCAGTTAAATGAAATTACTAAAAATTACTAGTTACGAATACTAAATAGTAAGTAAGTAAACTAACTTATTATTTATAATTGCTACTATTAGAATGGTTCAATTACAAAAGTCATAACTTACAGTACAAAAATTAAATATTATTTCTTTATATATACATACAGTATAATATATATTAGTTTTATAAACATTTTTTCATTATTGTCATAATATTTTTGAAATAGTAGTCTCGAAGTAACAATATTGACAATAACGATCGTTTTCATTATGTCGTCTTTACAGATAGATCATCTCACCTGAGATGATTTTTGGAATGTTCAAACGTACAGCAGGATGTTCAAAAGCAGGTAGGAGAAATTTTAAACGAGTCATATGATTCTGCGTGGCAGAATAAAATAAAAATGATGAAGAAAAATTTTCGATCGAGTCTCCGTTCCCTAGCTTTAAGCGTTCAAAGAATCGACCTAAGAACTCCTGAGCCACAGCAACCCGTCATACGAGGGAATTATGAAACAGGTTGCCCTGCGCCAGGGGCTATTGAACCTATTCTTTAAACGCTTATAATTAAGAAATGATGCCACTATCGCAATTTCGTTACTCTTTATTTTCTTCTTATTTTTTTACGTAGATTTAGAATCTTCCGATAAAGTTTCCTTTTTCAGTTCATCTAAATTTCTTTCTCATAATTCACGTACTTTCTTCTGTGAATTATGCAGAATTAATTCCATGCAGAACTTATTTCTCGATACTTGTTATTGTTATTACAGCTTATTTCGCGATATCATGTTTTCTTTAGACTGGACTCTTTCGACGTTGAAATTTCTTCGTCGGTTGTACGTGTCAGTTGGTGATGAACAGTCAATTGTAACGGAGAGATGAAATGGTTGGAGATTCAACGGGTTGTTTGTCCCTCGTTTCGATCGACAGCCTATGTAAACGAGTTATCACACAGGTTTGTGCGTCACTCGGTGAGGAAAATCCACGACGATCACTCGTTTTGCATTTTAATCGGCCGTTCGAGGGATTCTGGCATTAATGTCTTCGATGCAATTAATCGGAAGTCTCTATTTGAAAAAAAGAAAGTAGCACGGAGCGTGATCAACATAGACTGTATATAATGTTTCTCGCAAAAGTTTTGCCGTTTTTGAACTGATCTTCCGGGGTTTCGAAAGGGTGTCGTATGAATAAAGTTCGATTCAAGTTTCATTAGAACGACAAACTGTGGAATTTTCGAGGCACGTCGTCAGCTTTGAGCAGAGTTTTACGGAGGATCTTGAATCGAAGTTGCTGAAAACCCGCGGCATTCTTCTTGCAAACGTTTGGCATTGAGATAAAAGTAGTTAAAGAACCGAAGCAAGGGCAGAGTAAACTTCATTTTTTTATAAGATTCGTGAAAATGGAATTCTCTCATTTGCTATATCAAGAACGTACTCAAGTATTAAAGAAATAGGTATTCTCGTGAAACTAATATTCGTTAATTGTTCGTATATTTTGTTAACGAATACCATTTCGGTATAACTAAGAAATTGTTTTCTTGACATTTTCATTATATCCACTTACAGACTTTTTTAAGGGTAACGGTAGGGTGAGTGATGTTTCACTGTAGAAATCTCTGCGTTGCAACGCAGAAACGCCCGTGTCGGTCGCGTTTATTCCGTTGAGAGGCAACGAATAGTTTCGTATGTGTATAAGCGTGGAAGCTTAAACGGCAATTAAAAAGTTCTCTGTTCGCTCGTAGCCTTTTCCATTTCTATTCCCTTTGTCCCCTTTCTCCCAATGGAAATGTAAATCGTACATTTGTCTTGTCCTGCGTGACTTCTGCCTTTTATCCATCTTTCTTCTATCTCCGCCCAACCTTCTTCTTCCACTTCTTCTATTTGTCGCAGAAAGAATAAAAAAGCAAATTGCGCGATTCATAAGAAAGATTCGAGAGCTTTGTTTTTTCTGGTATCCAGCGCCTTGAACTTATCTGGTGTGTATACATTTCAATGAAAAGGTAGATTAGATGATTGGTGTGGATTTAGAGCAGTTTGATTATGTAGTACTGTTATCAGGATGAATTGTAGAGTGAAAATGATAAGGTTGTGAAAATGGTGTCCAGAGAAAGAGTCTCAGTCTCTCTGCGTGCGCGTGAGAGATTCTCAGCCTCTCTCTAGACGCGTAGAGTCTCTCAGTCTCTTTGTGTGCGCGTGAGAGACTCTCAGCCTCTGTGTGTGCATGAGAGAGAGAGAGAGAGAGAGAGAGAGAGAGAGGGAGTCTCAGTCTCTCTATCCCTTCATGAGAGAAACAATCTCACAAGCATGTGAGAGAGAGAAAGAAAGAAAGTCTCAGTCTCTGTGCGCGCAAGAGAGAGACAGAGATAAATTTCAAGCAGAAAAAAGTTGAGTCTTGAGTTCGAATGGAACGTTACCAAGTTTTGTTTTTTTTCTGCAGTCGAACGGCTGAAATGACCGTTAGGCGAGGTAATACGATATCTAGCAGGAGGCTGGCTGGTGTTGCAGGTGCATCGGCTGCATCGGTGCGTTGCGACCGTCAGGGGTGGCTTTGACGCCGGTAGAGGCGCAGAACGTGTTCGATCGACCCGCGAACGCGGCCCTGTGCTCACACTGCGACAGAGTTCACTTCAGTCAGTCGCTGTTCGCCCGTCGACTGCGTTTAGTCACGTAGTTCTCCGATATTTCCCCGCTCGTTCCTCGCGACACCCGGCCTACATAGAACATATCAGATATTCATACACTTCGTTATCAGTATTATTATCGTCATTGTTCTATCATCTTACGAGTATAATAATATCGTTGATCGACGTGTTTATCGGGAAAGTGAGAGAGATTTGAAGGTTAGCCTGTACTACTCATTGGTAATTTGGAGGGAATAGATCGCCACGGACACATGGACTGCGAGGCACGAGGGATGAGCGAGAGATCAGCGTGATGCACTTTCCAGGTAAGTTTCAGTACACTTGTCCTCGATAGAGTCACTTCGAAGTGAATTTTTCGATCTGTGGAATTTGTTACATTCGACTTTTCACGATTTTTTATCCGCTTACGGTCATTTCTGTCGAGATATGTCGCGTGTAAGATTGTTCGTTTATTTATTTACTTATTTTCACGGGTACGGGCCCATTCACAAAATAACGTAGATAGAGAGCAGAAGAAATATCGACAATTACAAAAGAAACGAACAATTACGTTAAATGAGAGGTTAAATTGAATCAGCTGTGAAAAAAACAACGATCATTAAGACAGCACACGTATAAGAACATTTTGATGATATATATACAGTAATAGGAATAGTTAACGTAGGGCATATCTGTGAACAAACGTTTTCAAAGATGTAAGAGAACCTGAAAATAAATCCAGACATAATGGATTATAAATCAGTGTCGTATTTATCAACATTTTATATCGAGAAATTATATCAAAGTGCGGTATAGTATTGCTCGCTAAGTGTCGAATAAAGGATATTAAGTTAGGTTACGAAATGAGAACCTATCACTGCACTGGTCTGTCATATTAAAATTTTAATAAAAATCTTTTAGTTTTCATTTTTCTAAATTAATGGATTTTCTGAAAATTTGCGGTGAATAAATTTATTCGTTCTAGCGATTGATTTAATTTAAAAATTAACGTACGTGTAGAATTTAGTCTTTTTAATACAATATACAGGGTGTTTAAAGAAAATGTTAATACTTATAACTGATAACAATATATGTCGTATTAATAAATGTATTTTGTCTGCAAAGAGTCTTCGTTTGTTTAACATAACTGTCAACACATTCTTGGAATCATTTTCTCCACGCACACAAGTGTTAATCTTCTTTTTGAAACATCCTGTAGATTATAACCTATCTCCGAAACGGTTCGTTTCCATACGTTCGTTCACCCAAAACTTCCTCGTTTCTTTCAACGAATTCCGCCAGTCTGAACAGTTTCTAACTGTGCTTTTGAAACACCCTGTAGATTCGTTGCTGTCGACACCGCGTATGTTTTCGTGCAGCAGCCGGAAACCAATGGCGATAACCAGCGGGCGCTGGTTCCACGAAAAAATTTTCGTTTCTATCGGGTGTCTTTGTTGTCGAACTCGTGGAACGTAGAAAAGTTCAAAAAACTAAACAAAAAAAAAACGATTTGTACAGGAAATGAACAAAAATGGAAAAATGTTATTTTAGAAAGTATAATTTTTGGCGATTGCGACTAATTTTGCCGCTGGAAGCTAATTACCGTCAGCTTATATTTATTGTTAAAGAGTTAGTATTACAGTATTATAGTTTGCTCTTTTTTTTCTTTTTCTTTTTTAGTTTTTTCAAGATCGTCGTCGTTTTTTAGGCAAGAGAAACGTGTATTTTCTTCTATTGCATCTTGCAACAGACGAGAAAATACATTTGAACATGCCTGAACGATGCTCTTCGGATGATCCTGAACGTAGGACGATGAAATTGTAAGACATGAAATAAAAAGATGACAAAACGAGTAAATAAAAACTTTTCTCCTCTTTGGGAATCATTTAAATCGTGTTACAAACATTTTTCACGAAATTAAAAGCGAACGATATATTTGAGTGACCTCTTCAGCTGTAACACACTGTATATATACAGGGTGTCTGTTTTATCTCAATACAGTGAAATATCTTTTAAGGAAGTAACGTTACGAAAAAAATGTTTTAACAAAAGTTGTTTGGTATGGAGGGGGACGTTATGTGGTGTAAATATTTTTTTTATATCTGGTATGATGGGGGAGATTTCAAAGTCAGTTTAATTTTTTTAAATGGAATGCTATATTTTTTTATACATAATATGATATATGTATATATTCGTTTACAGAAACGATTAATCGAATTACAGCTCAATTATGATTCTAACAAGATTCTCGATCTGTCGTGCAGCATCGTGCCAGATTAGTACTGCTAAGTGATCGACCTTAATCACTAAATGGCAGCCACGATTTAGTGATACAGTGTTGCATACGTCGGACACTGTGAGCGCGTCGTACAAACTTTAAACTATGTTCATGATTGTATCTTTATTGAAGTGTACGTCACGTGTTCCGTTTCAATTCAGCATCGTCTTTTTCAAGTCGGTTTCACATTTAAACGTGATAAATCTTTCGCGAAATATATTTCCACAGGGTGTAACGAAAGTTTCATGACTCACGAGTTCAAAAATTTATCGCGACGAGATGGAGAACAGTGAAACAGGGAAGTGTAACATTTTCGTGAATTGGCAATTCTGCCGAGTGACGTCACGTGTCTAAAATTTTTTTTTTATTTAAAAAAATGAGACGCTGGGACATTTTGTTTTCAATTTTAAATATCTTGAACATTTGACTCAGCAGGGTTGCCAAACTTATGAAGTTGCTTTCCCTTTCTCCGTCTTCCAATTCGTCGCAATAAATTATTCAACTCAGAGCCCTGGAACTTTTGTCACACACTGTAGAAATCTTTAACGAATTGAATCGATAAATGGAAGAATTGTCAGTTTTCGAAACTTTATGAAAAAAACGGTAAAAAACGTATATATGTACTAATTCCATTTAATAATTGAAGGGATCGCTTTTAAAGCATGGAAGGTTTAATAAATATTTTCCTGGAAAACCATTAATTTTCCATTATGCTGTTTTTGTTCTTTTTTCTTTTCTTTTTTAAAGAATATTGTACATATATATTCTACTATATCCATGAATATATATTTCCCTCGCATACGCTGCGAAATTGCAGTCAAAATAAATCGTCCGCTTCCATTTTTCTCGTACAAGTATTCATTCGAAAAATATAAAACAACAACACCGGTATAGGTCGCCTGTAAATAAAACAGCACAACGTGAAATGTGAAAAAATAAATTTCTTTGAAAAAGTCGTTTAAAAATATGTTACTTAGTTTAAAAAATATTTAAAATTCAAAGAAAATTATTAAACTTCTCGCTCCTGCTCACCTCGCCTCCAAGTTCCAAATTGAAAAGAAAAACGAAAAGAAAAGAAAAAAAAATGAAAAAAGTAAGAAATATTTAAAATTCACAAAAGAGGGATTTTTATTTCACAAAAAAATTTCTCCGACAAGCACGTCGAATGATCATTAGGACACGCACTGAACTTTGTCCTTTACAGGATTAATTAATTTACAGCCTGCTTAATTAATTAATAACGTCCAGCATTAATTAATGTCCAGATTGGGCTGGTCGGGTAGTAGGTATACTTTGCACGTTCAACGTTTCACTGTTCAATATCGAACGAGGGGGGGTTCACCTTGTTACTTGAAAAGTCGGAAATAATTAGATTCAACCGCTCCGCTAAATTTGCAACTGTGCATGCATGTATGCATACAGGGTGGAAAAGAAGTTGATAAAACATTCCTTATCTCGACCGCCACGGTTATTCTGTCACGCGGTCATGCTCCCAATTAATTTCGTCGTCAAGCCGAATAGAACTGCAATTAACGCAGCTTACCATGAAATGATAGCGTAACGACAGTATTGGTATTGACGTCAGCTTCTCAAAATTTCTCGAGTATCGGGGTCGGCTATTTAGGTTAAGAATTTATTTCCAACGCCCTGCGAACACGAGGAATCGAACGATACGAAATTTTCGATGTACTTGCGATATACAGGGTATTTAAAAAAAAAAAATGTTCACATTTGTATAAAGAATTTGTGTACACGTATGTGTTTAATGCTCTTCTTTATTTTTTTTTGCAACAGAACGTGTTGACTTCTATGTAAGTGTTAACAGTTCTTTGAAACACCCTGTATTATGAATTGGCATTCAGAATGTTCCAGAGTGGGTGTAAAAAATTTCAACGAAGTGTTCAACCGGTCGTTCCGAGTCAAAAATATCGTAAGAACGTAAACTTTCGTTTTGAAACACCCTGTATAACAGCTTATACCGTATACATGTTAAATTGGGTTCAATTTTACCGCACGTTCTGTTTTGTAAACAACCGTTACACTACGCAGCTAGTCCTCCATTTTGAAACACCCTGTACAACAACTTGTACCGTCCACGTGTTACACTGGATTCAAATTTACCGCCCATTTTATGTTGTAAAGAATCATTACTATAAGTAATTGTTTCCGCCATTTTGTTTTTATTTTTTGTGTCTATGAATGAATTGTAAAAGTTTCTCCGTTATACCTGTGTCATAGTTTAGTTTTCACTTTTCGGAGGCAAGGTCGTGTTAAATTCACTGGAAGCTATTATAGTTACTACCGGTAATCTTCCGATTGATGGCGCTGCTACGAAGCTAAATATGTATAAAGATCGACGTTTATTGCCCTTGTTTATTTTAGCTTAGACCGTTACGATATTTCTTGATGGTATAAATGTTTTCTTTGTCGTTATAAGTGAAGAAGGTTAATTCGATTTCTGTGTATTCATATTTTAATAAATTATATTATTGTACTGTATTTAAAATTACTTTTTATTTTAT